CACGAGTCAATTCAGTCGTTAAACTAACCGATGAAAAGCGCCGAGGGCGTAGATGTCAATCCCAGAGGAATCGGACTGAACAAAGACGACCAGTTCAGCCGGCTAGGTGTACTGCTAAGCGATCCCTCGATGCCACAACTGAAGATCGGCATAAGCAAAGACAACTATCTCAGCAGGCCCGACGAGCCGCACGTTTCACGTGCAATACAATTGCCCAGCAATTTGCTGTGCTTTTTTTTTTTTTTTTTTTCTTTTTAAGCAGAAAAAAGTAATTTTAGAAGATAAGCACACATTTCATTTGTATTCATACCAGTGCGAATATTATGTTAAGATTTACGTGTTTATGTCGACTTTGCCTTCCTGCTTCTGTGAAACTTTTGAATGGCATCAACAGCATGGCAGGTTTCATTCCCTAGCTAGCACTTTTAATTGCGCGTAGAAGCACAAGGTACGGTAACAAGATGCTGATTGATGAAGTGTATTAAGAACTGCTGTGCATGGTTATTCTAGGTACGAAATCATACGTAAACCAAATAGTATATTCCCCTAAAATAATGTTCAAATATACACATTTTCGGCTCCCAAACTGATGTTTTCTTTAAGCTGTAATTAAACTGCAACTCTTCGTTCAGATAATAATAATAAAAAAAAAATCCCGACGAATTTATTCAGGTTATTATCAGGCTTGCATTTACTGCGCCAGTTTAGTTAGTTGTATTTTACTGTACTCACTGTGCCGTCAAACGGATGGAACGTATATAAAGGTAATAACTGAAAGGGAATTGACATCAACCTCGTTGGTTGACGTAATACAAAATATATAGAGCAGCGCGGGTGTGCTGCGGCGAAGCAACAGTTGTCGCTTTGCTGCAGTACACCACTGCGCGGTGAGAGGAGCTTGCAAAATATTGAGAAACTTCCGACTATAGTCAATGTCTGATGGAGAGACTAAATCAAACAGGATGTTATTTGAGGCGATAATAAGGTTTTGGAAATACGTACAACAGTATACCGTAACCATTCGGCCGTGTAGCGGGGTCCGATTGATTATACAGGGTGTCACAAAAAAAGTAATTACAGGTTGTTTTTTTTTTTTATTTTATTTACCGCAAAAATAAACAAGGCATCGCCGAACGCTCATCCTCCGCCCAGAGGTAGCGCTAGAGGTCACAACCAGATGCCAAAGTTTCAGCCCGATCCGATACCTTAGTCAAAAGTTATAAGTAATTTTCTTTAAATTTCAATGGGAAAATGGCGGCCGAAGAAGTTTTCGAATACATGGGAAAATGGCACCAGAAACCGAAACCACGCAAAATTCGGCTTCATTTCCCCATTGAAATTTTCAGAGAATCACTCATAACTTTTAAATAAGGTATCGGATCGGGCTGAAACTTTGGCATCTGGTTGTGACCTCTAGTGATACCTTTGGGCGGAGGGTAGCGTTCGGCGATGCCTAGTTTATTTTTGTGGTAAAAAACACCCTGTAATTTTTTTTTTTTTTTTTGAGACACCTTGTATTTTTAGTCTTAAAAAAAAGTAAAAATAAGACTTAGCGCCAATTCCTCACATTTTAGCAAAATGTATCAAGATGTAGCAAACTACAGCAAGATAAGCGTTTTGGCGCAGACCGGCGCTGCAATCACATCACTGGCATTTGCAGGCTCATCTGGCTGAGTCTCGAAGTTCAGATTATGTTTTTACGGCGGAGCTGTTAAGGGCTAGTTTTTCCAGGATCGTGTCCGGTACCAAACAAATGTTGACACCCCTGGTCGACATAACAGACTAGTTGCCACCGTCGCTCGTAGATGGCGGTAGCTGCGCAGAGTGTTGGTACAGTGCAACGTTACTAGAACACTCAGTTGGGAAACTCGCCGTCGAAACCTGAGCCGCTGGCGCCCACCGAGACCGAGCTAAATGCGACAACAGCGCCACTCTTTACCATTTGTCTGTACTGTGGTCACCTTGAGCTTTTAGAAAACATGTTTTTGTGTAAAAACAAATAGAAAAGACTCTTTTTGTATTAGATTTATTGGGGTTTAATACAAAATGAAGGATGCGTGATGTTTTTAAAATCTTTAGTTTGCAACGCTTTGCGGCACAATTAAAATTGTTTTTATACAACCATGCCTCAGCGGTGCTTTCAGGTAGCGCGTCCCGACCTAGGTGCATTTTAACTTCGGTAGTACGATGCGGCGCGTCCGCTGGGGAGACGGGGGTTGCACCCCTGTAACCTCTTCCGCTTTATCTGTTTCGGCGCCATAATGGCCGATTAAAGCCAAAATAGAAGTCACGTGCAGTTCCTCGAGTGGCCGCTGCGGGAGAAATGGCGGCGTTCTGTTCGCCATTAGCTCGGTGCTCGAGGACAGATCGGGGACAATTTTCAGAGCAGTCTCTATGGCAGTTTCCAAACTGAGTGTTTTAGTATCGTTGGTACAGTGGCTTAAAAGGGGTAGTGTAGTTACCGCGTAGCCTGCACCATGCATCGGGAACGGCCGCTCCTTGGAAGATGGTGTAGGTGGCGCTTCGATCCGCACTTACAAAATCATGCACGCTGTAAGGCGCGGCTAATGAAAACACATCAACTTTCACATTTTACTCGGACAATGTATTCACAAACCTCAAGTTCTCCTACCTAACTTGGTGCTCAGGATGGACCACACATATTCCACGTCACCAGAAATTCCTATAAAAACCCTTAAAGGGATACTTCAACGAAACTTGAAATATCCCCGTCGTGTTCAAAAATAGGTTGAATATGATCCACAATATCCGTAAAAGACAATCCCACGTTTGTATTTTGAGCCTGGTGGCTGTATTTTTCGTTATAAACGGCCCACTCTGGAAAAAGCTCGGAAAAGGCCCTGCGGAGACCACGTGACATCCAACGCAATCGTGACGTAGGTCGTCTCGGGACAAGCAGAGCTATGACGAGGTTCACGTCGAAAGGACGGCCTAGTCGTTCCAGCCACCGAAGCGGCTACTTTTGTACGAATTTTGAGTGACGGGTTAATCTTCTATAATCTTGTAGGGGTACAATGGCGACTTCTGCGACACACAAAAGGCATTCTCGGGAAGAGGGGAGTTCCTCCTTCCCCTCTTTTTTCGTCGTGGCCGGAGGCGAGACAACCTCCGTCACTAGCTGTCAAGGTTCCTAGATGAGCATTACAAACGAGGCGTTAGCGACATCCACCAGGTGCTCTTTGCTAATCGTTTAATTCGTTTTAAAATTCCTTTTCGAGACTTTTTAACAAGATATTGGTATGTTCGATATGATACGGCTCCATTGAACACATATAGACCAAAAAATGAGCGCCCAAATTTCGTTGTAGTATCCCTTTAAACCGTAAAAACGAAAAAAAAAATTGCTTCTTTTATTTTTTTTTTTTTTTGCAATGGCACCGTATAGCAGTAGGACTTTGTTCTTTCTCCCAGCACGGACGAATTTAATCAAATGATAAGTGCAACGTGCATGCACCAAGAGTTATGAAGTGTTAATTAAGCAAACCTTCTAACTTAACTTTTTTACACTATGTGTGCCATTCTATATACTGTCGAGATCGGTTATAACGAAGTCTACGGGAATCGGAAATCGCTTCGCTATATCCGCTCTTTCGTTATATATAAACTCTACAAATAGCATGAAAAAAAAAAAAAAAAAAAAAAAAAAAGATAACGCGGGTTGTTTTGGGCACGTTTATAGAGCCTGCACAAAGCGGTCGAGGCTTCCCTGTACGCGTCCTCTGCTATATCGGAGCCGCTTCTCGCCAACTGCAAAAAGCTCCAATCGGGAAAAAAAAAAAAAAAAAAAAAAAAGATTCTGCTGCGTACGGACCGTGTCGACAGCTGCGACGGCCCCACGGAGGACGCCGGCGGTAGAAGGCATTCTTTACGTTTCTGCGCACTCCGTCAGGATTGCGCGCTTGTGATTGCCTTCGTCTTCCCCGTCAAGGTGCCGGTGGTGTCGGGACTCTTAATCGTTGAGTGGCAATGATTCGCCGAATCAGTGCTTGAGCGAAGTAGACATTCGCGCAAGAGCGACCTCACCGACCAGACGCCGACACGGATCACGAAGCAAACAAAGCGCGCACGGCACCGAGTTCGCGCTCAAGCTTGTTTGTCGTCGGTATAGACCCTAGAGTTAAAAGATGGGGAAACTGCTCGATCGGGGTCACGTGGTTTGTGGGCCGCGTTTACAAAACGAGCTGCAGCATGCAGTCAAAACTCAAAAGCGTTCACCTGCAAGTGTCCGCCTCTCCGCCCAGTTTCTGGGCGGAGAGGCGGACACTGGTCACGCGACAATCAAATACAGGGGTACTTACAGCTCCCTCTGTTAAATCTAGGTTCTCTCTGTCATCTCCGCCGGTACGTTGTCGCTAGCGCTCCGAAAAACAGTGCTCCGAACGCTCCGCGATGGCATCTCCGCGTGCTATGCGGTAAAGCCGTTTCCCAGATAAGGAGCGGGGAGCAGACGACGTTGCAACTTGCAGAGACTGCCGCCGGCGGCCTTTCCAGCATCTTCTGCAGCCTCTTCTGGGTGGCTTCTTTGCTGCGGCAGCAAAGTGCGGCAGTCCGAGAGTTAGCAAACTTTGCGAATTCTATTACTTTTTTTAAGGTATCACAAAAGTTTTTCTTCGCCATACGGGAGCCGCTCAATTTCCTTCGCTACAAGCAGACACAAATGCATTGAAAAAGTGCAAACGGGAATGGGAAATCGTGATCGCTTCGCTGTAGCCGCCATTTCGCTATAACCGACTTCGTTATAAATGGTCTAGACAGTAGGACATTTGAGGCTACCACCCCAATGTAAGACTTCTCACTCTGGCTTTTCCATAATCTGCACAGTCTGATGTCTATTTCAGAGTGTCTCCATTTAGTGGTACTACAAAAGCAAACAAGGATGTATCTAGGCATTTTTTCTTCCACAGGAAAGCAGTACTAAACTGTGTCAGTGAAATTCTGTCCAACCTACCTATAGATAGACGGCACACAGGGCAACTGCATAAACATAACAAACAAGTACCCCTCCCCCCTTTCTTTATTGGGTAGCCTAAAGTTAGTCTATCTGCCAGAGGCGCACGTAGCCGTCGTCTCCCGCCGAAGCCAGTAGCCCGCCGGTGGGACTCCAAGAGACGCTGTTGACGTCCTGAGAGTGGGCCTGCGTCAGCGTGCAGCCCAAGCGCCAGCTGCAGTCACCTCCGTCCTTGACAAAGACCCGCACTGCATTGTCCCCACAAGCTGTCGCCAGGAATCCCCTTGTCCGACACCTGCACAGACACCGGGCCAGGCACTGGTTGAATTTTTACAGCGACAGTGCTAAGGAGCTCGTGGCACGCTGGCCTCAGTGGCGTGCCAGAAAAGGTGGCACGACGCGAAAATCCTGATTGGTTGATAGGCTCATGGCGTCACAGCCACATGACCTAGGCACATCTGTCTGGAGGAATGCACAGTTTCCACCGTCGCTGAGGGGCGGAGAGTTTCCGTCTGTCACCGAATCTGTCCAGTGGCGCTGCGATCCAGCCGTTATGGTTCATCTGTGGAGAATGCGTACCCTGCTGAGGGGCCGCCGGGAGAGAAGACGTAAGCGATGAATCCTGTGCTGTCTACCAGTGCAGAACGCTCTTCTGAGTCATCTTCTACGAGAGCAGATGCCGCATCTATGTCTGCTCCTGCTCAGCGACGGGGTCGACCACGTAATGCTGAAGTCGAGAAGGGAGAGACGAGGGCTAGGCATGCAGACGCGATGTGCCACAAGCGGGCCGAGGATTTAACAATGGTATCGCGTTTCACTCTTAAAGGGAAAGCTTAAAGAGACACTAAAACCCCCCCAAAAAAATTGCCAGGCATGGAGTCACAAGACTACCCAATTAATATTTTGCTACAGTCATATATATTTTTAATAAACCGAAACCTGCGCACGAAGGTCGGAGAAATATAGAGGAGAGAGTGCTGGAAGTGACGTAACTACACCCAACCGCAACAAGTTTTTTTTTTTTGTTTTTTTTTTTGCACGCAGCAAACGACATTACAGCATTGCGAATATCGTTTGCCGTGCGATTGCTTGGCAGTTATGTTTGTTGCCCTCATTTGTCTTTGTACATTGAAGAGTTGGAAATGAGTAGTGAGTGCCCGTGATGGATGCCTGTGATCGGCTCCAAAAAGAATGCTCCCAAGATGTTGCATGAAGAGCTGCCTCACAGGCTCTGCATCTGAAAGTGGCACTGTGCGGCAAAGACTGCACAAGTTTCCAAAAGATCAACGAGATCGGGACCAATGGCTGGCTGCAATTCCGGCAGAACAGTTACTGGTGCCTCGGAAAGCGGACGCTGCCCGATTTATATGCTCCTTGCATTTTGTGGAGAGCGACTACATCGAGTTCGCAGGTGATAAAAAGGGAGTCTTATACCATTTAGTTCAGCAATGTTTCGTCCACAACATTATTTTTTTTTCACTAATAATTGTAAAAAATAAATGTAAATATAGCAAAGTGTTAAAAAAAAAACAGTTTGCTTACGCTTTGACTTGAACCTGGGTCCGCTGTGTGTGAAGCAGACACCTTTCCACTCAGCTACTTTACAGTTTTAAACAGTAATTTTGACAAATTGTTTTATACAAGACCCAGGGTTCTCCCCATGGTGGGCAGCAGTGGCTTTGCCACCCACCGCTCCGACTGGCCGCCCACCACTCCAACTGACCGCCCACCGTTCAAATTTTTTCTTTTTCTTTTTTTTATGCCGCGGGATGACGATGCAATTTTGCCTGTGCGCATGGCTGCAGACCATCACCGTCGTACTCAGCAGGTTCGCGCACCGCCACATGGTCACTCGCTATCGCATCGCTAACTGCCACTGCCACAAAAAACAGACGCGACAAAAAAAAAAAAAAAAAACGCTTGCCAGCTTTTTTTTTTTTTTTCCCCCCTTTCTCCCCCACCCCCCTGCAGTAATGTGCACCCCTCAGAAATTCCTGGGGAGAACCCTGACGAGACCTAATGGGGGTGCAACTGCCCGAGTGATGTCTTTGGCAGCCAGAAGGGGCGATGACTCGGTGACGTCTTCTTGCGAATCGGCTTGCTGGTCGGGCGTGTTCTTTTTTGAAGGAAGACAAATTCGCCGGTACCACGAACGACAATCTTGAAGTAGAGGTCCCAATCTCGTTGTGCGCCGCCATCGCATTCCAGGCCGCGAGTCCCACAATACGCGATACGACGCCATGTTGAGAATTACGCAGTACATGCACAGAATGCTTCCAGTTCTCCGTGCAACCTTTTTTTGTTTTTCAATCAATGTATTTGCAGCTTTCTAAAAGCCACAAAAAATGTGTCATCCTTTTTTTTCTATTTTTAATATTGAGTGTGTGCCTTGAATGACCCATGGCTTTGATTAAATTTGGTGGTTGCGTCTAAACCTTAGAAAACGGACCATGACTACAGAGAAGACAGTCAGTGCGACTCAAACTGGCCAGTTTTCGATCAGCGGTTTTCGGGCGGAAAGAAACCATATTTTCAGCTGCAAATTCTGTTCTGGGTAGTTCGGCTCTCATATGTCATGTACAACTAAAAACATCGGCGAGCGTAAATACCCCCTTTCAGTGTCCCTTTAAGCATCCTCCGACTTTTTGCTGAAGAGGTAAATTGCTACTGGAAGAGTTTCCAGAGCTAAAATCACAACTTTGTATATCCCAACTGCTTGGTTTGCTTGTTGCTTGGTTCCCAAAGGTTGTAAGCTGAATAGGTTAACACACTTATATTTTTACATGCTTTAATTCATTCTGGATGCTTTTTGGACCACATCCAATCATGTCTTGTGAGCTATCATAATGCTAGCAAAAGCATAGTCACAATTGCCTCTATTTCATTTTATTTGGTTTGAAAATGACTGGCACATCTAAAAAGGAAAGGCGAGTTGCTGAGCAGCCTAAACGAATTCGGCATGCATAAGAGTGACAAACAGCAGCAAACAAATCCATTACTCTCTAGGTTTGATGCAGCACAAAATAACTGGTCACAAGCAAAAAATTACTATGAGGAGGTGTGTCTATTTTTCTTCAAAGATCCTGCACTTGCCACTGGATAATATCACCTTCCTTGGAGTCATAGGTAAGATGGGCAGACTCTATGTTGACTACGCACTGTCAGTGCCAATCTTTCTTTAAAAGGCAACTCTGGTCAATAACTTTTAAATTAGAATTATGACTGTTTTCAGCTAAAGCAATGTCCCTGAATTACAAGGTATATAATTTTTTTTTCAATATTGTGTGTAGTTTTATAAATATCATGAGCTAAAAGTCTGGTTTCGTGTGTCTACGGCAAAACCGAAAGTATCTGCTACAGGGATGGCAACACTGATCATCAGCCAAACGGTCGCAACATGATGTCACCGTGGTACTGCGGTATGCGGTACAACCAATCAACCACAGCTCAACCGTGACATGACGTCACAAAGGTGCTGTGCCAGTGTTCTGTGACTAAAAGCTAACCCGCTTGCCGCCTGCGAAAGAACAGCTGGTGGCATCTTTAGAATCGAGTTTAGTGGAGTATGCGGCTCCACTTCGATGTAATATTTCGACCGTGATCATATTTCGTGTCACTAAAGCGATACCAGTAATTTATTTTAGTGTTGTTTTCGACCAGAGTTGCCCTTTAACTTACTGCAGACAGAAGTTGGGAAGATTGTGGTAACATCCCCTTCCCCCAACAATATAAGAAGCAGCATTCTATCTAGCCTCTCGCTACTCTTCCAGTCTCCACAAGCTCCACTGTCCGTTAACAAGTCCATGAGCTAGGCTGGGATCTAACTTTGCACTCAAGCCCTAGCCTGGAGCAGAGCTTATTCCAAAAGCTAGGAAGTATATCGAAGAAGTGTGGCAGGGTGCTCAAGCCTCTAATGTCTATGATAGTATGTAACACCCACCAGGACACATCATAGACAGGCCTTGGGTGTCTTTCCAGGGTGCCGCACAACTCCCAGCTCCTGCGGTCCCCCTTGGTGCCCCAGACGTACACCGAGCCGTCGGCGGCGCACGAAGCCAGCTGCGGCTCTGGTCCTGGACCAAAGCTGAGACCCCAAACGGTGGATGCATGCTTGTCCAGGGTGCAGTAGCACTGCCAGTCATCCACCTCCTCGCAGAAGAAGCGTATAGTGTTGTCGTAGCTTGCGGAAGCCAGTTCCTGCGTCGTAACGAAGACGAGCACAGGAAGGCAAACTGTCATTCGGAAGCCAAGACATATCTCCGCAGACAACAAACATAGGCTGCTGGTTTTGTGGGCAAATAAATCAATAAACAAAGAAGTAAAAAGTCTCATAAGCCCTGAAAGTTTTTTTGCAATGTCAGAAGTATGGCAGTGTCACCCACCTTTATCTTGCAAGAAAAGTGACAAAATAAACAAACACGATATCCATTAAGGGCAAACCCTATCTTGCTGACCCATTATGGGTCAGCAAGACCCATAATGACCCCTTATGGGTCATTATGGGTCACACATGACGTCACGAGGGTCCCACGCTGTGCATTATGGGAAGTTCCATAATGCAACATGTGGGTCTCACTTGTGACCTGCGTGTTGCATTATGGGACTTCCCATAATGACGTCTCACAAGACGTCCCGAGGGTCACGAGTGACGTCACAAGGGTCCCGCGCGTTGCATTATGGGAAACGTCCCATGATGCAACGTGTGGGTCTCACTCGTGGCCTGCACGTTGCATTATGGGACTTCTCATAATGACGTCACACATGACGTCACGAGGGTCCCGCACGTTTTATCATGGGACGTTTCCCATAATGACGTCATGCGTGACGTCACAGTCACTCGGTAAAATCACGACGAAAATATGCCTCCTCCTCCTCCGTACCCTCCTCTCCTCTTCAAGAGCTGCGCTCTAATTCGGCATTACAGTTGATTTTAAACGTCTTTAAATTTTTTAGAGCGCAGCTCTTAGGCGCCTGTTTCTGGCTTGAGCGGCGTCGCCGTTTGCGTAACCGCGCGGTGCATTATGGGAAATGTCCCATAATGCACTGCGCGAGCCCCCCACCGGGGTCACGTGACCTCGGGGGGGGGGGGGGGGGGGTGCACGTGACCCCCCCCCCCCCCCCCAGGTCAAGTGACTCCCCTGAGGTCACGTGACCCCCTCCTCGAGGTCACGTGACCCCCGAAGTCACGTGACCCCCGCCGATGTCGCGTGACCCCCCCCCCCCCCCCGATGACGTCATCGTCACTGATGACGTCACCGGCATCCACATCGTCATCGTCACTGATGACGTTATCATTACTGATGACGTCATTAGTGACGTCACTGATGACGTCACCAGCATCCACATCGTCATCATCACTGATGACGTCACCGGCATCCGCATCGTCATCATCAGTGACGTCACTGATGACGTTACCGACATCCGCATCGTCATCGTCATCATCACTAATGACGTCACTGATGTCGTCACCGGCATCCGCATCGTCATCATCACTGATGACGTCACCGACATTCGCATCGTCATCGTCATCATCACTGGTGAAGTCATCAGTGACGTCACTAATGACGTCATCGGTATCCGCATCGTCATCGTCACTAATGACGTCATCAGTGACGTCAGTGATGACATCATCGGCATTGGGGGGTCACGTGACCTTGGGGGTCACGTGACCCCCCAAGGTCACGTGACCTCCCTGGTCAGTTGAACCCCCCCCAGTACCCTTCCCTCCTCCTCAAGAGCTGCGCTCTAATTCGGCATTACAGGGAGTTGTAAACGGCTTTCACTTTTTTTAATGAAATTTGGAGGGTGTTTATTGGATTTTATTTGTGTTTAGTTTTTAATTCTCTGGAATTTAAAGTTTAATTTCACTCCGTTCCCAATTTTGAATGTTCCGCCCAAAATTTGCAGAACTCTCAAGTATCAAACTATATTTCTTCAGCGAAATTCGGTGTTAGCACCCTTGACATTGGTAATAGTATACTGTCCCATGACAAAACTTGGAAAAAAAGTAGTGCTTCAATGAATGTTGATACTTTAAAATCTAGGAACTCATGGATGTAGTCGCTGGGAAGCTAGTTTTCTTCAGATACAATTCTACCACTCTTGTTGCATGGGCCCAGGGGAGTGGCCAACAAGGAATATAGAATTTCAGCTGCCCTTCCCCCTACTTCAACAAAAACTAAGGGTCCATATCTTTCACTGTTATAAAAAGTCAACCTTTCTTTTTCCTAAGAAGCCAAAGGCTCAAATTGGAAACCTGAACAGTGGTTTTTCTCGTGACCCAAAAGTAAAATGACCCATTGTCCTGACCGAACCTTAATCAAATAAGTGGTACACCTCCTTTTGTCAATGATTTGAGATTTGAAGGAAAACTCAAAACTAATGAATCTGTGCTCTAGACAAACTTATTTGTAGAATACCGTTTTGTTCTTCTGCTGAGATCGGGAACACAAAATTTGGAATTTCAGATAAATCTGAATTAATGAAAATTTTACGGGTGAGTGTTTTTCGAAGTTTTTTGGATTTATCTGAAAACACAGAACCTTAGCAATAATGAGGTCAATGGGACAGCAAGGAAATTTGACATAAGTGGTAATTCTATAAAAGTAAGAGAGCTATAAAAACAGTGACAATAGCCTTGGAAGTGCCTGAAGCCTCAAGACAAGTGTTCAATCAAATAAACCTTTGTGATGAGGAACTTGTTAGAATCTTTACTGAGGTGTTAAAAAGGAAAAAAACAAAATGAGAAAAATTTTGCCAAGCATGTATGGCCCACATCGCTAGTGCCTCCTCCAGCTCCCTTAGTCATCTCAATCATAATCGCCGCCGCCGCAGCACTCCTCATTGTCGCAAAGCAAACTAAGGATGTATCACGTCTGCAGTCATCGTTGTCACTAAACATTTTGCTGGCCTTTGAGGCTCTCCATCAGATGCCGCTTTGGCGTCGGATGAAGGTCCTCATCATGGCTGCAAACAAATCCGTGGCAGAAGCAAGAACGAGAATGTCCACATCGGTAACCGCAAACGAATTAAAATTGTCCTTGAGTGCTTCATCGACCATTTTGAGCCCACTCCTGAAGAGATTGTTGCAGCTCCGGGAGCCATCCGCTGGCTAGTCAAGTAAGCAGATGTGAGAATAACCGCAGTGCGCAAAACCTAGAGCTAAAGTAGGCCAGCAAACAGGGGACGCTGGGAGACGTGCTTCACTTGGCTTGGATGAAGAAACACATGACGTCAAAAACACGCACTGGAGCTCCCGAAGGGATGGTTTTTTTGCCTTTGCTTCCCCACCCGATCCGGATGGGACTTGAGCGAATTGATGAGCGCAGCTGCGGGTGTTGCAGACACCGTGTGTAGCGTTGAAACAGTAACGTTTCCCCGTGGTGGGGCAGCGCATAGGCTGCCGTTACGTGCGGTGCACCGTGGCAGTGTTTTGGGCTTACTTTCAGTGGCTTGGCCTTCGTAATAAGCGTGGTTGGCTGCCGATATGCTTAAAATAATCTGGTTCAAAATGCATGCATTTTGGTGAGAACCGCACTAAACTTCGAATAAAGCAATTTTGTTATAACGAGGGGCGACTGTAGTTACATTGATTCAGAGTTTCATACTCGGGCTGTTTGCAAGCATGTTGTGAAAAACTTTCCCGTTTTCTCAGGATTCATTTTTTTTTGTCGCAACATAAAGTTCTGTCCAAACCATCTGTCCTGAACTTCGATCTGAGTACCTTTTTTAGGGTTGGATACTTCACAAATCAGGGATTGTAGTTAAGGTAATATTTTTGAAAAATGTTAACTACAAACTCTTCTAATTAGCAAAGGCTTTAATGACTCATTTCTATTCATCAGCGAAATTATTTCAAATTGTGATAACTCTTTTAGAATGAAGCTAAAATTACAAGAATGGCTTTGTTGCACTCTCTAATTTACTATAATGAAAGCCTGTGTCGTCTGTTTGTCTTTTATGACCCTCTCTTGTTATAATTTAGGCACAAACACGCTCAACCATCCACACTTTATAATGTTTGTAGATTATACAGATGCAGTTATTTACTTTATTTTATTTCAACCTGAAGTCCTCATTGAGAAAAAATTGTTTTCAGAAATTGACATGGGACAGATATACATCTGATATCTTTAGGTAATAATTCTTTCTGAAATATTTACATTTCAGTTATAAAAACTAGATAGCCCAAAGTGCCACATTCCCCATTTTATATTCAAGCAGTCAAAATAGTGCTTAATAGCTTCATTTGCATATCACAGATTTCTTAACGAAGAGTGGCGCATCTTGTTGTGCGGGTATATTAAATTGTCCTAGAGAGCTGAAAGTTTGCACAATACACATACATCTGATGTTAAATCTCCCCTGCAAATTTTATCCTAATCACTTGAGTATTTTGGAAGTTAAATCTCTAGCCAGTGTCCCTTCTTACATCAGGGTTGTGAGAGTCATGCCTACACAAAGAGGTTTGTTTTATTTTTTTGCAGGGGAGAGTTTGCGACTATTGTAAGATCCTGTATGAACGCCAGCCACCGACAAAAATGCCTGTCCCGTTTTGTCGGCGAACATCCCCACCATTAAAATTTCGAAACATTACTCACCCCTCTATTTTTGCCAGATATCAATCACGCAATGCCTGACGGGAATCACGAGTGCGCAAACTGCGGTACCGGTATGTGTGACAAGCATGTTCACAGAGGCTTCCCCAATGTTCATCGCACCGTGACACACGAATCTGCTGTTCCGCAGTCTGCGGTATCCGTTCCCATGACATGCAACTTTGTAGCTCGTTCCCATGTTTTTTTTTGTTGCAATATAAGCTCCCATAATATGCAAGTTCGTTGTGGTTTTCCACTTGTTTATCGCAGTATGGAATGCAAATTTGTCGTGTCCGCGATCTGTTGAATAGATTCCCATTTAATGTGGTTTGTAGCAGGCTCCTTCCCCCACTCCCTTGCATGTCACTATGTTTTGATCAAATTTTGCTTTCACATCTCCAAAGATGTGAAAGCAAAAGACAAACCCCACGTTTTTCACCATTTATCTCTTCATTTTGGGTCAGGTTTTATGGGATTTTACGGTAAAGCTGTCCAGGGCACCTTTATGATGTAAGACTAACTCAGCTTGTTCATGACATCGACGTTTGTCAGTCACGTGCCTGGGTTGGCAATGCTTATACCTTGCGCTGTGCACTGGACACTGTTAGAATTTGGTTATTTCCGTCATCTCATTAATTGACCACACATGTGAAACGGAATATTCGCTGACACATTCACTGTTACCAAGTGCAAAGCAACTGATGACTCAATGCTCAACTCCAATCCATGAGCTGCATTCAACTGTTTTGGGACATGCTCCTGAAGATCTAATGGTCAATGGAAGCCTTTACAGTGCCCAATGTCTCAACAAAATTGGCTGCTCATGATTAATGAGTAACGAAAAAGCCGACTCAAATTTTGATTCATTCTTTTTCTGTAAAAACTACTGCACAAAAAAAAAGGAAAGGTTTTTTTGTTTTGGGTTAAATTTGAAGGTGAGCATGCAGTTGCAATTAGAAATTACTGAAAGGTTTTTCAACAGTGTTCTAGATTCTTTCAATATCCAAGATTCGTTCAAGTTTTTATTTAGTAAAAGGGAAAAAATAATGTCATTGACTCTTTAGTTTTGATTTCATCCATCCTACTCTTTCTGGATGGAACTGCAGGTGCCAGACAAATAAGCGTCCACAGAACAATTATACAGACAGAAAGAAGGGATTCGCAAAAGTTTAACTCGTGCACTCCGGACTTTACACCAACAATTACACTTTGTAGTCAGGCTCCTTTCCACTGAGGAAGTTTAGTTTACAGGTGTTTCCTAAAGTTTCTGCAGCTCCAATAAGGTTGGTAGTGGCTATCTGTTGATGTCATTGAAAGGTACAGGAAATAACAAGAAGGACTTTGATACTCTGTGAATATATGACGACTCTTAGCTAGCCTCAGTGTGTTGAGCATGAGCAAATGACTTACGTCTCGATCAGGGTGCCAGAGAACCTTCTTGACGTCCTGTGAGTGACAGGTCTGCACCGAGGCACATTCAAACTCCTCGTCTTCCCCAACTGCAAAAAGAATAGTACCTTTATTCACTGACAGTGATTCTGAAGTGGACTGTAACACGCAACCTACCGAGAAAGCCATCAAACGCGAAACCCTAATGAACCACAGACGAGGTCAGTTGTCTGAAGGTGTGGCATAAAATCATACTTGTAAAAAACAAAATGGTTATTTATGTGCAATGGTGCTAAAAAGTAATGGAAATACACTTAAATCCTCCAATGTCAGCAATGTAAAAAAAAAAGTTTCCTTTGAGATTTGTGTTTTAAAGTGAATCTGGTTATAAAGGGTTTATTTGGACATCTTTAAAAACACACACACATCTTATAACAGAAGGCAACTTTGCTAGAGTTTCAATTTGCTTGCTGGCAATCTGTACACCAAAATATAGTTCCTTTGGATAAACAGCCCTGCAGTGCACCTGAAACAGCATTGTTATGAAAATGCACTTGTTGGCAAAGGGTCTGTACACAAACAGGCAGCTCGAGAACCCTATCCTGCTGCCTCTAATTCCTGACATAAAGCTTGTACAGTCGGCAGCAACATGAGTTGGGACAATCGAGTGCCAACCGAAGGGGGCAGACAATAAGATGCTGCACAGGGAGTTTCCATCATGCTAAGCGATAAAACGTACTGCCACAATGCAATAATGAAGAATGTGACAGACCATTAAAATCTCACTCTTTTAACACACTCAGGGTGCGTCAAACTTTTACGCTGTGACAGCTCATACTGCCACTAACTGTAGCTGGTATTTGCCAATGAGGATAGATAGCTCACCTCATAATGAATAAAAGAAAGTTTGGTAAGATAAAAGGCGGGATTGCTGTCACTGGACGGTTTGTGTATAAACAATGCACGACCATTTCGGTCAGGCTGACCAGGAAGGCTTCAACTTTTTTTTCAAGCTGGAGAATACCTGGCTCCAGCTTAATTTCAGATCACAGTTTTCTTTGTAAGCTAAAGAGTAACCGAAAGATGGGTTCAAGGGAAGCTGCAGAAGATGCTCGGCTGTCGTTCCTGGGTGGTAGAGTTTGCAGGGGACCCGACCCAGAGGAGCATAAACTGAATCAGACATTGATTTACTTGGCAGACTCCACCAGCTGTGTAGTTGGTTGTTGCAAATGTATCTTATCCTCAGCACGACATTCAGAGGCAGAGATCACCTCTTAAAAATGATGCAGAGGGGATGCCTGCATAATTAATGCATATTCAGGCAGTTCAGCCCTTTTTAAAGAAATTCCAGGCTTTTTTTACTTTGTGAAGCAGAGAAAACAGTTGGCTAATATTTGAGCGAAGAAAGAACATCAGAAAAGAACCCTGTGAGGCACCTGCCTAGATGGAAAGGATTTTTGGTCAATGCTAACCGACATAGGAAAATTGAATAGAAGTGCCAATATTTGGTTTGGGTAACCGAGCTGAGCAGTACAATACCCTGTTCCCACGGCTAGCATAAAGGAACCTTTAACGTAGGCCCCTTTGCAATCGGCAGATCAGGCTGCACTCCTGGGATGCGAGCACAAGACATGCACAGAGGATCACAAACTGATTTGCCGCCGACCAAAAAGGTCCTTAGCTAAAAGGTGCCTTTATGATTGTGTGAATGGGGTCCAAGAAACCTTATGCTAGCAAGCTAAATGCTTAACACCTTGGGAGTCCCAAATTATTTTAGCCTTTGCCCAGGCCAGTGCGTAACATTCATTCTTTCAGAGCATAGAGGTGGGAAGTTTCTGGAGGCGACATGACGCCACCAGAGGAGAAGCCAGAAGTGTGGAGGGACACGCCCCCAATGATGACAAAAACTAAGAGACGCTATTGGACGAAAGGGAGAGCTGTTGGTGCCAGGTCAGCTCTCCTTTTCGTCCAATAGCGTCTCTTGGTTTTGGTGATTGTCAAGGGCGTGTCCCTCCACCTTCTGGCTTTACCTCTGGTGGCGTAATGATGCCTCCAGAAGCTTCCTATTTCCGTGTTTCCGAGAGTCGGGAAGGCACCGCTCACCCTCCCAGATCCAGACAGTCTTGTCACGGCTGCATGTGGCCAGAAAGCGGCCCGAGGGGGACCAGCCACAGGCCTTCACCTCGTTCTCATGCCCTTCGAGCGTGGCGCAGCTCTCGAAGGTGTCGTCTTGCCGGCGCCAGATGCATGTGGTGCCGTCAAAGCTGCTCGAGGCCAGGTACCTGCCGCAAGGCGACCAGGACACGCCCCGCACCGTCCGCTGATGGCCGTCCAGCAGTACACTCTTGCAAACCCAACTGCCTCCTGCACTGACCGCACAGTACGCGCTGTATCCAGGGTTCGATATCCGTTGTACCATAATAGGCCCTTTTAGAAATTATGCATAAATTATGCGTGGCCGCCATTAGTTGGTCATGCTCTGTGAGCACCCACTGTATGAGAGCGCCTTTGTCAGCATTCAGACCATACTCGGATCGAAACGCATTCCACACAAGTGCTGCGTCAGTACTCGGCGCGAACTCGGAACCAATCACGGGCTTTACGCCAGAAGCGATGAGATCAACTAATGGAGGCAGTGCATAATCTATGCATCATTTCATAATTTCGGAAAGGGTCTATTACTTAGAAATATGCTAGCAACGTGTAAATTATTGTGCAAATTACTATATTTTACCATCTATAAGACGCACCGTTGTACGAGTTGCACGTTCTTATAAACAGTCGTTTACAGAAAAAAAGTTGCTATTTAAGTTGCACCTCTCCATTTGTACGTTTGGCCCAAAGAAACTGCATTGAAAAGCTAGCACATGTGTACTATGATAACAATGTTTGCTCAAGCGAGAGCCAATTTCAATATACTCGTCAACAAATAAAACAAGAAATATAATCGCCGTTGTGAATTTTCACGGTTAAGGTTTCTTACTAAAGAAAATGCATATAAGTTGCACCCTTGTTTAAAACACACCGACGGAAATCTTGGGGGGAAAAAAATTGTAACTTGAAGGCAAGCAAGTGTACCAAAACGCATCTTCGGCACATAGAAACGCATGGTGGAGCACGCCGATCAAAGGGCAGCATAGAGAATGCGCGTGGAACGCGCAATGACGAGGCAGTCAGGCATGTGCCGTCGATGGTTCAGGCTGGGGGGAAACAAAAGCATTCTGGTGCCTTTAGGGGGCAAACAAACGCACGAGGAGCGCAAGGAACGGACAAACTTGCACGCCGTGTACGTTGGAATATATTGTAGATGTGTCTGTTGAGGCAGCACAAGGTCGGCATGCTTTTGGTTCACACCATAGAAAATTTACACAAGCTTGACCATGCTGGCAAAGACCAGAGAGCACGGAATGTGTTCCACACAATCCACACATTATGTGCGGTTTGTGCTAGTTTTTGTTATTGTGCACCACAGATGTTAGCAAGGGCGATCCAGAATGAATGAGTGTGCCGCACTTGCGCTACCATACGTGGCTCTTGCGCGATGTGCGACGTCAATGAGGCAAGCAGTCACATGATATGGCGTCTCACCACTTCCGCCGGCACGTTTGGCAGGAACGCAATCCTTCCTGACCAATTGCACTATGAAGCTTAGTGGGTGCAGTAACCGACTGCCGCCGCACCGACCCAGGATTGAGCCCCGCTGCAGCATCTTTCTCATGTTGATTTTATATGGGCCTTTGCGAGCTTTCTACGTAAAGCTTAAAGGGACACTGGCAGCCCCCCCAATTTTTTTTTCATTTCTCGTCAGGCGATTTATTGTGGTGTCAAAAGACTACCCAATTAACATTTTGCTACAAAGTCACATATATCTTTAATAAAGCCAAGAAACGTAACTGCTCGAAACCGAAACCTGCGTACTGAGGTCGGAGAAATATAGAGGAGGAAAGGGTGCCGGAAGTCACGTGGCTACACCCGATTGCGTTTTTTTTTTCTTTGGTTGCACGCAGCAGACGACATTTGACAGCGTTGTGGGTACCGTTTGATGTGCGATAGCTTTGAAGTTATGTTTCTTCCGCTCACTGTTCTGCACTTCAAGATGAGTTGTTTTGTACATTGAAGAGTTGGAAATGAGTAGCGAGTGCCCATGGTGAATCCCAGTGATAGGCTCTGAAATGAGTGCCTCCAAGATGTTGCGTAAAAAGCTGCCTCACATGTCCTGCATCCGAAAGTGGCATTGTGCGGCAGAGCCTGCACAAGTTTTCAAAAGATAAACGGGATCAGCACCAACGGCCGGCTGCAGTCCTGCAGAACAGTTACAAAGCCCCTCGAAAAGCAGAAGCTACCTGATTTATATGCTCCTTGCATTTTGTGGAAAGTGACAGCGTTGAGTTTGCGAGTGAAAATGGAATCCCAGACCATTTAGTTCAGCAATGTTTCACCCACAGCATTTTTTTTTTTCAGTGATAATTGTAAAAAATAAAATGTCCAAATATCGCAAAATGCATGACAAAAAAAAGAAAGAAAAGAAACTGCATGCCCACTTCGTGGATTGAACCCGGGTTTGCTGCGTGTAAAGAGGACACCTCTCCACTGAGCTACACTATTTTTTATTTCTTTATATGTTTTTATTCGGAATACAGACAATTTCTCTGCAGCAAAGGCACTCCTCAGGCTCGAAGTCGGGCAGCACCACGCATTGGTCAATCGTACGAATGCATAGCCAACTCGAAGTACACACTTCGTGCTTAACGTTTGCACGTTTTTCAAGCTCTCACCAATTCGTGTTTCTAAGACGAGTGATGTCTTCAGCCACGAGAAGGGGAGACGACTCAGCGACATCTTCGTTCAAATCGGCTTGGTGGTCGGGCGAGTCGTATGGAATGAGTCCTAATTGTTTTGATTGGTTTAAAGTTTCTCTTTCAAGGGAAGACCGATTCACCAGTACCGCAAATGGCAGCTTTAGATAAAGGTCCCATGCCCGTCGTTCGCCGCCATCGCCTTCCAGCCCGCAAGTCCCAAGATATGACGCCCTGTTGAGAATTACGAAGTGAACGCACAGAATACTTCTGGTCCTCTGTGCAACTTTTTTTTTCAGTCAAGGTATTTGCAACAATTTAGAAACCACAAAAAATGGGTTTCATACTTCTTTTTATTTTTAATATTGAGTGTGTGCCTTCAATGACCCACAACTTTGATTAAATTTGGTGGTTGTGTCTAAACCTTAAGAAAATGGCCCGTGACCACGGAAAAGAGAGTGAGCACGACTCAAACCAGCCAGTTCTCGATCGGCGATTTTCGGGCGAAAAGAAACCGAATTTTGAGCCGCAAATTCAGTTCTGGGTAGTTGGTCTCTCATATGTCATGTGCAACTAAAAAAACTTCGCCGAGCATAAATACCCTGCCAGTGTCCCTTTAACGTTGTGTAACACTCTTAGCGTGTTGATCATTCATGACATTCATTCCTGACAATTTTCTCACAGAAAATGACTCATGGTGTGTTGAAAATTAAGCCAGTGCAGTACAACTGGTAACACAGAGCCACTAGAGTGCATCAGGTGGTAGTGACTACGCTAGCCCAATCTGGATAAGTAGCATACATGAGAATTATGCTCACCAGATTAAAATGAGCGAGAATGGGGTCAAGGTAGGGGATCTTATGTTTTGCAACGCAAGTTTTAGCCCCACATTCTATGAGCTGCAATACAATAATTTAAAATAGCCATTTTTTTTTTATTGTGCATGTTTTGACGCGATGCGGTAGTTGGAGGTCGCCGTTTTCCTTTTTCATGTTGTGCATGTTTCGACATTTACCACTTAACATTACCAACTTGCCCAGTGTTGCAACTTCTTTCAAAGATGGAAGGTGAGTTTGGCATCTGGCAACAGACCAGAGAGCATCCAGTTTATGTGAACTGATTTTAGGATGGTTTCTGAGTAACGAAATTGCGAGGTCGGGGAAGGAGCGTGAAATTGCATGACCGTATAACCACGCACTTGCGTCGCTAATTTTAAGCTATTAGTTACAATATGCAAAATTATGTTGTTTATTATGATTCGCAGTTTTTTTCTTCTTATCTTATTTTCACCTGCTTCTTGCTGTGGTACGACTCGTCGGGAAACAGCCCCAACGTCGTCCAACTCGGCATTGTAACTCAACAATGGTGGCAAAAATATTCGACCCCCCATGGCTCTACATTCCCAGATGCGGTAAAGGCACAAGTGGGGTACGTCGACGCTACTGTCGAGAGGTTTGACCTTTGACCATCCCAGCGCCTTCTATGACCATTCGTACACGGAGACATTGAGAAAATCGTTTCCTCGGTTGTGCATCCTGTCGCGCTGCTTGCACGGTGACCAACAAAAGTCGGTAAGTTGACGCTAGATCAGGGTGTTTCCTGTTACGTGAACCGTCGTCGCGGCACAAACAGAACGTTACCCTCAAGTCCCCAGAGTCGGATGCTTTTGTCCCCTCCGCAGCTGGCCAGGATCGTCCCGGACGGATTCCACGCAACGTTCCAGACACGGTCCTCGTGGCCCTCCAGATCTGACAGTTTGCTCATCTTCATTGTTCAGTCTCTTGGATGTTACTTCGATACAACCATTAGACGGACGAGAAACTTTCGGACAACCTACGATTCAACTTCCCGCTGACACGCTGAGCTCCGGTACGAATCAACTGAATCAAGATGGACGATTGTTTATGTCACGTGACCCGACGCAACTGCAGGTGCAGCAGTCGACAAGGACAGCGCAGCAGAAATAAATTTTAAACTTTTACTGTTTGCGACATTCGAAAGGAAACGACCGAGTAACCTTCCGCATAAATCGAGTAGTAATATTACAATAAATATCGACAGAAGAGCGAAAGGCGTTGCCGCATTTATCTGAAGAATAATCGCTGATGAACGAACAGCCGAAGGAGCCGAAGGAAGCGTTGAAGCCGTAGCAAATTTGTTGAGATCGGAAGAAATCAGGCGCTGCATTTAGGTCAAGGTCTTGAAGACCAAGATTTCCAAGATGCCTTCATTTTGCGCGGCTAACGGCTGCAATTCTAGGCACGAAAAAGGAGGAGATGTGTCGTTCCACTCGTAAGTGAGAGTTGAGTTCCACAACTAACGCATGGCGTTCTCATCAACTCTAATCTCTGGCGCGCTTTCGTTTGCGTCATGACCACTGCCACCCTCACGCGCTGTCGTGTCCCCCGTTTTGCTAAAAGTACGTGCACTCCGGCATATCACCTGTGTCGGTGCAAGCTCACGTAAGCGGCTCAGTTTATGTTTGTACTTCAAAGGACTTTACTGATCTTTGAAGGCACATGGGACGTAACTAAAAAACAATAAAAATTCGCTAAACGAGCAGTAGCATGTTTCGAGGAATACATTGGTGCTCCCTTGATACGTTTCGCTGTATCCCTAGAAGATTGCGGGTTGCGGCCAGTTACTCCAAGTTCAGTGCGATCCCTATGTTGAGCTAGTAAAGCTAAGTTCTGCTGCTTCCAAGCACAACTTTGATCTGAGACCGCCAGCAAGCTTTGCATTGGCTATCTGGCTAGCTGTTACTAAACCACACACAGTAGTTTGGTGGTTAATGTAACGTGATAGCTGCGGCGAACCTGAAAGGCTCGATAGTTCCAGGTAAACCATGGGGCCTTTTGCTAGGCATCCCTTTACCTGCCTCATGACTGGATAGATTGACTTATGCAACCCAGTGCTGTTAAGTTCGATACAATATGTTACCTTCAATATGATACAATATGTTAACTTCAATACCATCTCAGAGCTTGCAAGTATGTTGTTTCTGAACCAATGTGCCTGCACCCTTTCACTTCTTACACTGCTTTGTGCCATTGCATCTTATTACTTTCGCTTAATTGAACACGCCTGCTTAACCCCTTAACCGTTTTTCATTTTTGGCAATTTTTAACCCTAAACCGCTTCTTTTTCTTCTTCTTCTTAGATTTCAGTTACGCCACGCATAATTCCTATTACAATTGAACATCAGAGCAAACAAACATTTTATTGAAGTCGATTGTAATTGCTTTGTTTTTGGGACAAGTTCAGCCAACTCGTACTAAAAAAAAAAAAAGACATCCTCATGATGAGCTGGTACCGGTTACCGCTCATCACTTCTCCAAAGATGGGCGTGTGCAGAAGCTTGTTCTTCGACCAGTACAACTTTTGCTCCGGTTTTTGCACAATTTCTTGCAACAGCAGGAGAGACAAGAATACCCGCATCTCCTCTGTTGTTGTTGGTACCCAATTCTTGAGGCGGGAATGCTCGCTGAGTTGGCTGGCGTTGAGTTTTTGCTCAGCGTATCGGTTGGTTTCCCTAACTATCAGCGAGACCAAGCCGTTGTCCAGAAAAGCTCCCAAGTACTCAAGCCGTCGGTGGTTGATTGGACCGAAAATGTCTTACTCGGGCTGCCGAGGAAAGGGAACCGAGGGGGTGCTGGTGGAACACTGTTAATGTCAATTTTCGACCACTGCCGAGCATCGGCATTAGCGCGATCTGGATCGTCGTTGTCCTCCTTTTCGTCCGAGCAGCTGCTGAGTTCGACGTCGTAATCACTGTCTTCTTCACTTGAAGAGCAGAAGTAGACGTCAGTATCCATGTCGCTGTCGAAGTCTTCCTCAAAAGAAGCATTTCTTTTCCCTTTGTATGGGCCCGGGCCACACCTGCCACCACCGCCGGACGCCAGTTTTCAATCTTGTCTTCAAAAGAAGAAAAAGACAAAACACAAACAAAACAGATGCAAAATTGCCGTTCCTGTGCTGCCATCTGTCGGCAGCATCTCAAACTGCGTTACGGACGAGCCTGGGTCGTCTAAAACGGCGGAGGGACGAACGATGCAGGACGGACGAGCTACACTCGTCCTAAACGGTTTGGGGACGGCTCGAGATGGACGAGCTAGGCTCGTCCAAAACGGTTAAGGGGTTAATGTGTCATGTGAATGACCTTGTATGGTGCAACGCACCCACATATCCATCTTTTGCATCAAAATAAAAGAGTACAGTACGGGCACGTGCTTCAAAGAGCTTGTGAAATGAGAATGCTCTGAAGCTGCCTTCACAGGCGGACATGTCATTCATTGTCTTTTTCCATGTCCTCACTTTAACTAACGTGGTAGGACCTCGCGATCCCCCACATTTGGTTACCCAATCGAGGACCATGGACAACGGGGAATCCCAAGGAGCAGCAGCTGGATCCCCGGCTTCCATTTTGTCGGTTGCAGTCCGACTTCCGCCGTACTTGGTCAGAAATTACATCCGGGTCGCCAATTTCTAGCACGTCCATTGCTGAGAACGTTTTCACCTAAGCTCGTAGTCGGTCTCATGATCTCTTCCGTCCTCAGCAGCAAACATGCTACAACCTCAAGCAGAGCCCCGTGTGGGTAGTAATGATGGTATCTGTGTTCTACAGCATGTACACTAACGCTTCAATCCCACTTTGGGCGGTCTGCAATAATCGGTTTCTCAACGTATCACATTGAGCTTTACTATAGAGGTGCGGCTAGGTGGTGCACACATGGAGTTAAAATGTCAATGGATAAACTTGCCTCGTTCATGAAGAAAGAAACAACTTGCTTCGGGCAATCTACAGCGCCTTTTCCCGGGCAACGTAGACGGTGCTCATTGACTTGGAGAAGCTGCCAACGGATGGCAGAGGCGTGCGGGGCGTGCGGATTCTGGTTTTTATAACAGGCTATCTAGCTAAAGTTTTTCGACGCATACGCCATCTGTCAGTAGTGTCTCCAAGTCAACCAACACCGTCTGCGTTGCCTGGGAAATGGCACCATAGATTTCCCAAAACAGGTTCCCCCTTTTTTCTTTCTTGAACGAGGTAAGTTTATTCGTTGATACTTTAACTTCATGCGTTCACCACCTAGCCGCATCTCTGTAGTAAATCCCAGCGTGATACGTTGAGAAACCAATTTTTGCAGACTGTCCAAAGTAGGATCAAAGCGTTGGTGTACTTGCTCTATATGTGTCGACAGATTTTGCTTGCATTCAGAGCTTATTTGCAATATTTTTTTTTATAGTTGTATTAGTGAACAATTTATGTTTGCAAGTTTAGTATACATACTCAAACTGCATCCTCACATTTTATACGCATTTGTCTCGCATCTCGTCTGTACAATAATTCTTCCATGTGTTTGACAGTCTGTTTTTCATTTTACTCTTGGGCGGCATTTTGCACTCCCCAAGCTTGCAGATCTGTTGTGTCCGCCTGTTGGGCTAGTTGGTAATAATTCACAGGGCGCTTAAGCCTTTTACTATCACTGGAAAAATGAGTCGTCCTCTTGAGTGCCTCTCAATTTCGTTCCGATTTTGCCAGGAATGGTGCATATATGCTATGCGCTGTACAAATAAGGCGTGGGAAACCTGCCAAAATAGCAACACTAGTCTGAACAGGTGCTGGCTCGTTGTGGGCGGCAAATATGCTATTTTGAAAACAAATGTCTCATGCAGCTTCCCGCACAGAAGACCTGAAGTGATGTCGCAGTGGCTCCTTGCCATGGGACGTCTCAATATGAAGCCCAAGGTCCACCACAAGATCTGTTCGAAGCACTTTGTGAAGAGCTGCTTCTTTGCAGGCATGGATCGGCCATGCCTCCGGCCTGACGCCATCCCGACCCTCTTCAACCGCACCCAGGCAAAGGTGCGAATTTTTGGGACGGGCCCATCAGCCAGCAACATTGAGAAATTTAACGTCTCAAATGAGCTTGGTGTTCTTGTCATAATATATAAATTTATATATTTATATATAAATAAATAAAGTCTATCAGCTTTGAAGAGTTGACATTCATACTTGGGAGCTTCTGGTCTTCAATGATATTTTACGAACCTGTTAAATTGATGAATTGGTAAATTGATGAATGCGCGAATGTTTTCTTAGTGATTAAGGAACACTCTAATTGAATACATTGCTGCACAACTGCTTTGAATGACGGGACTTTGGTCTTTTTAGGAACATGCATCTCTGTGATGATAATAGTGAAATGAGGCTACATTCATTGTGCGGCCAAAAATCACGAGGCATTTTGAGCTTCTAATACAAGTACGCCTCAATCAGTGTACTCTGAGGACACATGTGGCATTGAATCGGATGCAACTTTGAGGTAGCATTAGTGGCGGCACCATCACGCTGGATGTCTGATACTTGGAAATCTGTTGTTGTCAAAGAGGGCAGTAACCTGCTTCGTACCAAGCCGTAAGATTTTATGTTGACTCGGATGACACTTTTAATTTCAGACAAAGCTCTCGGTAAGGAAGCTGCCACAGATCTCAAGAGCCAGATCATCACCTGACCGGGGCGAGAAACCAAATGGTACGACTGCAACCAATGAGACGCAGGAAGGTAGCTTTGCGATTGGTTGCCATTCAGTGCTGAAAAGCGCAGTGGGTACCAGAAGGAAGTCGGCAACCAGTAGCAAGGCATGTCCTAAAGGTTGTGCACTTCTTGGAGGTACAGAAGCCCAAAGAAATGTGACTGCAAATGAAGAACTACCAGCAAGTGCTAAACCACCGACACAGAGTAAAATAGTCAACACAAAGGTGGCTACCAAGACCAGAATGGATTTGAAAAAATTTCTGTGTTTGAATACAACAAAAGGCCAGTCGGTTACTGTGCCTGTCAGAAAAATAACTGTCAGGTGTGAGTTGCCTGTCAACGATGAATTAGCAGCTTGCAACATCTCCACAGTGCCGAAACAGTTGCCAGTAATGAACGTTAAAAATGAGGGTGCAGCAACTGGAAATATTGACCTAGATAATTCTGTTCTCGGTGACAGGTCGAAAAGATCGCTACTGCGGAAGAAGGAAGCTGAAGTGAGCGATTGCATGCCACTTAAGAAACGTCCACTACAGGATACCCTTCAAGGTACTGTTGCACCGCAAGAATCTCCGGAAACAGACTCTGGCATGCCATGTTCGGACGAGGCATCACTTGCTTCGGCGTCCTTGTCTGGAGTGGTTCAGGAGAGCAATGGCACGGTGAACAGGCTGCTCGACTCTGGCTCATCGCAGTTCCCCACGACTGCCGCCGAGGCACTCTTTCTGCACACATACTGTGGCGACGAGACGACGTCCCCACACCTGTCCAAGGTTGCCAGGGAATTGCAAGAGGCAAAGCAAAAGCTGTACGCAGCCGACCGCAGGCTGAGGAGGAGAGACCAGACGATTCGCCAACAGCGGACGACCATCGACGAACTCGAGAGGCAAGTCTCCCTGCTGAAATCATTGGAGGGATTCCGGGTGTCGAACTGCCTCCCGACAGACCTGATTCGTGATTGGCACGAGAACGCGAGCCGCGTGTCGTACGGCCACAGGTATCGACCGATGACGCTTGAGTTTGCATCTGGTTTGCACGCCTGTTCGCCTCGTGCTTACAGGTTCGTCGGGAAGTGGTTGCCCATGCCTTCAATGCAGCTAGTGCGTAAGCATGGGGTTGAGACTGCAGTTCCTGGCGTCTTTTGCGCGTCGTCGGAGAACCTCGAGAGTTTTGATGAAGGCTGTGAGACTCGAGTGAGCGAAACACAACAGGCCTTGGCTGCATTAGGGGCCAGCGTTACTGCGGGGTCAGTGGTCGATGTGGAGGTGGTGGGGCGAGACGACGTGTTGCTGTCGCATTGAGAAACATGACACAGGTGTCCCGAGGTGCGGCTTTGCGTGCAGTGACTTGCCTGACGACAGAAGTGACACGACGTTGCAGGTTGTATGTGCGTGTAAATAACAAAAGTTATCATCAGTCATATCGCAGAGATTGCCTTTTTGCTACTACATGATAGTCTGTTGCACGTATACAATTTGCAGAAGAAACTCTGCTCCCAAACTCCTGGAGAAAAATGCTCTACTCGGTAAGCATGTGCCATTTTCCTGCTATCACAAAGTGGGACACTGCAAAGCACATACTTCTCTGGCTATGAGGACCGGCCACTTGTAAATGTCCACCTTCTTGTCACACTACCCTTAGAGCCAACGCGCTTGCACAACCTGTGGCAGCCTTTCCATGCCCTGCTAAAACCACTTTGGAAGTGCCTTATTGCACCCACACCTGTTCAGCTGCTTTTAACTCGTCAGTGACTGCGAAATGGCATCCTCGCAGCATTTTTTTTTTCAGGACCCCAACCAGGTGATAATTACTGGAGACCCAGTCTACTCATACACATGCACGACCAAACATGGGAGAGTTCATAAGATGCATTGGAGAGATAGCTGAACCTGATCAAGTGCTGCTCACCCAGATGGATTTAACTGGATCCACTTGGGTTAAGTCCTACAGTCTAAGTTCGTTATAACAGACCTTAATTTTGGCCCAAGATTTTGGTCTGTTGTAAAAGGAGTATGTTGTATGCAGATATAAAGTTCAGTCAGTAGTACATAGAGGAGAACCAACCGAGCAGAGGATAACGATGGTTATCCTCTGCTCGGGGCTATGAAAAAGCCCCTGCGAAAACTTCAATGTCACTGATGAGATGAAAGCAGCATTCAAGGCGGGGGTATGTTTCTTTCAAAAAGTGGTTGCAGCAGGGTACAGAGAAGCTGCCATACGTGTGGTGAGGGTGCATTTGGCTCCAGGGGGAGGCTTTTGAGGAAGTGGACAAACCTAGTGACCTCTATGTGGACCTCATTGTACACGGAGCTTCTTGGAAATTCACTTCTGCAATCTGTCAGTTGTTAGATCTATGGTGTTTAACACCTACGCAGAGCTTCTTGGAGATTCACTTCTGCAATCTGTCAGTTGTCGGGTCTATGGGGTTTAGCACCTGCCTCTGAGCAGTAGTTTACAAGAGGGCCACTGGCACATGGAGCTTTTTATTTTTGTGATCCTCTCCCGCAGATCTTGCATTGCAACAAATTATAATTGCAGTTGCTTGCAATTGGTCATTCGAGGCACTTGTAATGGCATACACAAGCAAGCACTGGTTATAACATTTTATTGCAACTTAACACCTGCTGTGAAATCTGCTAGCATATGTTGCAGTTTACTTGTCCTGTGCACCGTTTAGGTATCATTGCGATGATTGTCGGTACCCTCTCGGACTAAAACCCTCAAACTAAACTGAGTCGGTTAACACTCAGCTTCTGCCCTAGTATAGCGTCAGTTGTTCGGACCAGACGTTGAAGCTTCCTAGATTGCTGTTACTTAATTCAAAAGTTGTAACCAATTTTCGGAAATTTTCAATGAGCAAATGGTGGCCGACTAACCCCATGATTGCGTGGAGGTGTGTAGCGCCGGCCACCGAGAACGGGGCTTGATTTCTAGGTTTCAAGTTTCTGCATATCACTTGTGTCTTTTGAATCGGATAATAGCAAGCTGTAAAACTTCAGCGTCTGGTCCAGGTTGCTAATGCAAAATTTGGGCAGTGACTAAGTATTTGGTGATGCAGAGTTTATTTTTTCGGTGATAAAAACATTTAAACATTTTCGCGGACACTTGGTGCTTCATGGTTGAAGTGTGCGAACTACTAAGGAAGGGAGCGAGATTTTTCTCCCCCTCTTCTCCATTGTTTGCATAAAATTTCGGAAATGTCTAGGAATGCAATTGCCCCCCCACCCCGCCCCACTCCACATGGGTCCATATTGTTTTGTGGAATTACGTTTCGTGGATAACATTTCATAGACTCGCGTTTTGTAGACGCTAGCATTTTATCGACACTCGTTACGCAAATTTCACGCTGTAGGGACATTTCATCGCACGTCTATCACTGGGGTGCATGTTAACCAACTAATCCCCGACCCGCCCCCGCCTCCCCCCCCTTTTTACACTGCTTTGCAGTAACGGTCTGCAGCGGCTCATTACAAAAATGTTAGCCTACCTGACCCGCTTGTTCATGACCTCTCTGCGGCGACAGTCTGATGCAGCTTATTACGGAAAAAAGGCTAATCTGAGCTGTTGATGAAACATTGCCTGTCGATGAAATGTCGTTCGGTGAACTGAATACCACCACCTCCAGACATTTAAAAAATGTTTGGGGGGGGGGGGAAGGGGGGGGGGAGAGGTTGATCGCATCCCTTGTTCCAATGCCATTAGATTCAGTGTTTGAATATTTAATGAGCTGAAAGGTCCAGCGAGATGAAAGCTTCGCTATTGGACATTTAGACTAGTAGTTAGACATTCGAGGCCTAATGGACCTTTTCCACATACCGACGGCACCAGGCAGTGGCTGCACAAACTAAAAATCGAGGAAGTGACCTACCTGCGCTACCAATCGATAATGGGAGCTGCGCTACCAGTTTCTTTGCTCTCTGAGCTGCGGCGCCTGCCCAACGCGACTTTAAAGAGGGGCATCCGTGGCGTCCACCCAAACGTCGTGTTTTCCTTTTCGTCGACATTCTTTTTTTGTGTAACACAATTATATATATGCTGCAGTTACGTGTTCTACTCTCTGATATACAGCCTCCTTCCGAATTTCCTCGATTTTTCGTTCCGACTTCCGCCGCTTGGCATCGGGCGCTTGTGCGTGCGCAGAACGCTTCTCGGAAAAGGTCCATTGGACCTTCAGTCTGGCGTGGTTGGGCACACTGGATATTCAGGCTAGATTGGATCTTCCACCTCACTGGATATTCAGGCACAGTGGACATTTGGGCCTGATTGGATCTTCTATCTCAATCGTTGTTCTTTCTCGCCTCTTGCATGACTTATTGGATGTTCCGACTCAAATATTCTATCTTGGATATTCATGTCACGAGGGCAAGCCCCCCGGCCGTTTCGAAGGGTTCGGCTGTTTTAATTCCCATTCAGCAACTTTCATTATTGAAAAAAAGGTCTACTCTTCTTGGTGGAAAATAAAAAAAATAATTGTCTAAAACGATCAGGTGTTTTTTTATATTAAAAAGCCATCTACAAAAGAACCCCTATTCTCTTTCAACCCTTATCTTTTTCCGTATCACTTTGGACATGCTTTGCAAAGAAGTGGCTCTCCGCTTCTCTTAATTAATCAACATGTCCTGTTGGAGGTGCAATTTCAGTTTTGTTTGATGCACAGGAAACGTTCGATGCCTCTGATCTTTTCAGTAGATCTTCGAGCTTCTAGGAGGCAGGGGCCATACATTGTTTAATCCTGTACGGTCCTCGGTGTTGTGGTAGCAACTTTTCTAATCTGCCTTTGATTCATGTCGGATGACGCAACTGAACTAAATCGCTGTCTGCAAACTGATGCTGTCTATCATTCCGGGACGCGCTTGATTGTGTAGTACTGTGCAAGATAGCGAGTCCAGCTCCTACCCCATCCAGATACTAAAAAGCTCCACGCTCGCGGGCGTTTCATTCTGAGGAACGCTTGACTGGTGGCGTACATTGGAACTATTGCTGACGTCAGGACTCGTCCATGTGGAGCAGATAGGGGGAGCACATCAACGCGAACTGCCGTTATCATCTGCACTTGTGTCAACGCGGTCCGATTAAAGCGGGCTCATAGGTAGTTTCATTCATCTTTCTCCTCTCGCCCTCAAACGCGTGATCACCAGTCGCCGAGCTTTCTGTTTCGATAATCCTCTGCCCATTTCAATCAGACTGCGGTGACACAGGTGCAGATGATAACGGCAGTATGCGTTGATGGGGTCCACCCTACCTGCTTCACATGGACAAGTCCTGACGTCACCGCTAGCTCGAACGTAATAGCCACCAGTCAAGCGCTCCTCAGAAAAAAAACGCCCGCTCGTGTGGAGCTATTTGGTGTATGCATGGCTGTACATCCAATGATCTTTTGTGTATTTTTGCAATACTCGTTTTTTCGGCTGTCCCATGGACAACTGAAGCCTCTTTCACCGGGAGTACAGCGGTTCTTCCCTAAATAAGCTGAAATGAAGTTTTCCTTGGTGATTTCTTAAAGGCTGCTTTGTGAAGTAACTGATCCCAATTTGTGTGCATCATTCAAATATGCTGCTAACTACAGTGTAGACCGCATATAAGGTATGTCGCGGGAGTCGCGAAAATCCGCACTATAAGCGGTACCGTGCTATAACCAAAACATCGATTTTTCTGGCCAAAATACATGCCATGAGTCAACTTACCTTTGGAAAAGAATTTATTTTATGTCAGATGAAAAATAAAGCTTAGTTTGAGGAAAGTCTTTATTTCACCAGACTAGTACACTTCTCTCTCAAGTGTGTCACACATTTAGAAAGAAATGAGCGACTTTTGCCTGGCGTAGCCTTCTAGTGGCGCCACGGGTTGCGGACAAACGTTGCGAGCGTTCGGGATTGCTAACCCTAATGACTTTTCTCCGCTGATGAAAACGCGTGAAAATTCGCATCCTTTATACGGTACGTGCCAGTAATACCTTCAACTTGAGGACAGGCATGAAATGCTCCAAATAAGAAATTCGGGCGATGTTCGAAAACACAAATGCTTAGAAAGCACCACTGTAGTCGAAGTAAACAAACACGACGACACGGGCGTTTCTGCCGTCTTGAGTGTGCCGTCACGACATCGCCGCACGAGTATGTGGATCTTCCCTTCTGGTACAAGCTGGGTTATCATAGCGACACACAACGAAAATTCACAGTCAAGGATAGCGCTTTTACGCGGAATGATGAGCTTCCACCACGCCGTCTACGTCGACGATCACCACCGACGCCATGTTTGCGGATAGAAGAAGCAAGAAGCTGCCCCGCGACCGGCATGCAATGCGCGCAAACACTTCTCCTCGACCTGCGATTGGACTGTCGTTGCAGTTGTTTCCAACGCATGCACGTGAACGACATGTGCGTGCGCTATGGCAACTGAAGCTTCTCTCTTCCGCTTCTC